TTTTCCAAAACGGACGAAAAAAATGTAACATGTGGAAGAATAGTCGATCATAAGAATTTATTTCACCCAAACAAAGATATTTTTGCGTCGACGCCTCACAAAGACAGTCAAAGATCCCTTCGCCATTGTTCTCCATCAATTGAATCCCTTGAGAGACTCGATATATACATAAATACTTTTCGATATTATATTTTCTACAGATGTCTTCTAATCAGACTTAAAAATTAAAAAGTTTATGATAGCTTCAACTATATCATTATCCTGTAACCAAACATGTAAGTAGCTTTCACAAATCACATCCCATTATCGCAAAGGAACGGATCAAAAATCATAACAAAAGTTTACAAATAATTGAGAATGGAAACATCCCATGAGGTTAACAGCTTTTGTTTTGGCTGTCGTCTCTCTTCCTCTTTTCTTGACAAATTGAAACTTTTTGTAATTAAATTCTTTTATATCGTTTTACAGTAAAAAAAAGGATTCATTAAAGTAAGTGCAATCATATTTAAAGTTTTAGATTCGCTTCTCCATATCACACGAATAATAAGTCAACATCTCCAAAGAGTCGACCCAAAGAATATAATAAAAATATTAGCTTACGACATTTTACCACTACCATGTAACAATTGACTTCACATATAATTTTACGTTTAACTTGTATAATTTTCTCCGTATCTAAGAAGTTTCGGACTTTATGATGTATTGTAACCCTTGTTCAAAAACGCGGCCTCCACGGCCGCATAATCGGCGACTAGGCGCTCGGCGGTCAGGCGCCGCCGCGATTTCGTCAATTCGGCTAACAAATCGGAAAATGTTAGAAATTTTTATTTTTAGTGAAAATAAAGGTATAAATCAGTTTTTAAAGTATTGATCTATCATATTTGGGTAAAAATCACTAAAAAAATATAAGAGAAAACGATAATAATCATGAGAAAAAAAAAACGGCTGAGATTAGGGTTTGAAGTCGCAGAGAATGATGAAGAAGACGAGGGCATTTTTGTCATTTCACTAAACCAGAAGAAAAAAAAAGAGCCAAAACAAACATATACAGGGTTTGAACCAAGGTTCGTTAGGATTCCTACACGCAACAAGCCACTGGACCCAGTCATTCTTTAAGTTATGTGCCAATATTTAGTTTATATACATATATGTCGATAAAAATACTGAAAATTAATCCCCGATTTAATTCTGATTTCCGATTAATCGCTAGGCCTGTACTCACCGCCTGACTAACGCCTAGCGATATTTTGAACAAGGATTGTAACTTTGACTAAATTAGATTTTTTTTCCCCTGTGAATTTCGACTTTAAGACCAAACCCATTTTTCTCCAAATGCTTCTCGAATCTAATCGTTTATACTAAGTAAATCCTAATAATGAATGCAGAAATAACAAACGTTCATCAAAATTGTTATCCACAAAAACAATACTGCTAGATTTGAAATATGAAATAGTGAAATGTTATAGCATACAACTAAAATTAAGCCTTTTAACAAAAAAAAAAAGAGCTACTAAAATAAATACTACAGTATAAAATGATCATTGATATATTTCCAAGAAAATTGATTATTGATATTTTTTACTACAGTATCAGCTAAAAATGTTACAGATTCATTTTCTACAGAAATTAAATTAGATTATTTAATTACCACAAAATGATTGAACTACAGATTATAAGCTAAGTAATTACGTTTCCAAGTTAATTATACTATACAAGTATTTATAACTTCTGCCATACCATACGTACCAAAACTGAGAATGATATATGCAACCAAATTTGCATTAAAAAGTTACGTATAAACTTAAGGACGGTGTCTGATGGCAGAAGACTCGGTAGTAGAAACCAAAAATGAAATTTCATTATCCAAAAATATATTTGTGGTTATTAACAAAAAAAAATAAAAAAATTGTGGTCTTTGTTGCATCCACATGAACCACTTAAATACCAAATACCTGATATTTTTTATATAAAAATCGAAATGAATCAATACTCAACATTAGATTATCATGCTATTAAAAAAAATACAATATAAAAAATCTCGTAAAATACTTCCTTAAATATAAAATTAGAATTATTTAAAAACAAAAAGTGAAGAAAAGCCACAATGATGAGAGTGACATGGTCATTTGCCTTGCACGTGGGTGTTTGGATACTCTGCAATCTCCTTTTTGACAAACTTATTAATCCACTACTCATTATGTCATTTCATTTTTATTTTTCAATTTGTGATCATCACAACTAGTTAGTGTCTGATACTTAAGTTACTTAGCCTCGTCGTAACTTAACCCCTCTTTTTTTTTTTTTTTTTTTTGATTAAATGAAGTTACTTAAACCTCTTTAGAAATACAAACTCAGTCACGAATTAGTTAAACAGAGTTCAAAAAGTCCGAGCAAATCGTGTTAGATCCAATTAAATTGATGGGACACTTTAAAGAAACGAAACTAAAAACCCCATAACACTGTCGATAAAGCAAAAAGCATATGGTAACATATTTTGTTTTTACTATTTACATTTCGGCGTTTATGAAGGAGGCTTGTGAAATAATACTACAGTCGAAAGAAATGGTCACTATGATAACACTATGCATAGAATTTGGTGAGAAACATTACAGAATCTTTTTTTTTTTCTTTTGAATTCGGTTTTCGATAATGGTGTGAAAGAGTGAATGTAGATTGTGGACGAAGATAATTCTGGGACACTTCCAAAAGAAGAAGACTGTAGAAAATGAATTGTCTCTGAAACATTATTATTCAAACATTGCTTGACTTACACGCCACCTCCTCAATTTTCCTCCATTTCTTACTTCAAGAAGGAAAGGTCTATTGAGGTATGTGTCAGGTTTCAGACTTATTTTTTCTTCTCAAATTCAAAAAAATATATTATTTTGTCAGACTCATTTTTCTCACCTACTCTGCTTTCTTATTCAATGTTTTCTCTATTTTTTTTACACACAAGCTACTTACCCTTGTCTTCTTCTTGTTGTGTTTATTAAAAATTTAGAAGTTGGGGCTTTTGTTACTTTGCTATTTTAGTGGTTGTTATGGAAACTGTTGGATATTAAGGTCAAGACTGTAATTTGGAGAAATTAATGTCGAAACTATTTGTTTTTTTTTTTTTTTTTGAAAAGTACTATTTGAGTTTTTTTCACATACTGTAGTTACAAGTATCACGTTTTAATAACTCACTGACCATCAATCCATTATGTCATTTAACACAAAAAGATGCGAGGTTATAAGCTATATACGAAAATGATTTAAACTAATAAGTTGATTAAAAAAAGGAAAAAGGTATATCCTAGTAATCAGTTGAATTCACAAGTGAACGATAAGTATTTTACTAATTATTAAATCATCTTGGGTTCAAATTATTAGATGTTTTAGCAATTTCACACGTATACAAAAAGAGAGAAGTATTTGTTAAAAGAAAGATATATGTATATACAAATCTATATTTATATTAATGTGTATTGAAATAAAGTAATACCTACACCTAAAAGTAGAAAACATAAATCTTTGTTGAATTTGTTTGTTCTTTAAACATCTAAAGAGAATGCTAGATATAGGAAGAAGTTTAGTCATTAGTATAGTTGCATCTAAAATATTACTACTAGATATCAAAATTTGAGACAATGCTAAAATTATGTTTGTTTGCGTATGATTTTTAAATAGATTACAACATAACAGATACTCCTTGCTTTAACCAAAAAATGTTTTAAAAACAATGAAGCCAGCGAGGCGTATTATTTCACTTGCAAATATGCACAAAGAGGAAAATTACGAACATGCCTTTTATCTATCTAAAATCCATGAACATGCCTTTGATATTTCAACTCCCCTTTCTTTTCAAAAGTCAAATCAATCTATTACCCTAAATCTAAAAAATCTTGTCACATTTTTCTGCACCTTCTATTTTATCCTCGGAATCAATAATCGTCAAATCAAACGTTAAATCATCATATAGCTAGAAACAAGAAATATTATTTAAATTGCTCATATAATTTGATTTATCAAACTATTTTGGTGAAAATACATTGCCAATACAAAAAAAAAAAAAAACTATTCAATATAGGTATCTTTTTTAACAACAAATATAAGTCACTTTATGAAGAAAATAATTAAAATGGTAGACTTCCATTTTATCAACTTGAAAGAGGTGCTTGTCTTGTAAAGTCCCCCATTGTTGTAAGGATTACACAAAGGAATGTCCCTCGTAATCATGAAATGAGCTGTGTTACATCACTCTCTGGATTTTCCCTTCTTTTTCTTTAATCATACATACGTCACTTCAAATACTCCATTAATAGTATAACATTTTCTTCGCCTTATTTTCTTCCTAGAACAATAAATCATGCATCATTATTTCAGGTACATGCACTCTGTAAGTAATTGTAAACATGTAATTACAAGAAAGAAAGAAAGAAGATATGTCTAATGAAAATCAATGTGAAGTCTCTCTCAACCAACATAATATGATGATTGCTATTAATTAATGTTGCTCATCATTAAAGATATTACGATGGACTACAACATTTAAAGATATTTATATGGCAAAGCTATGTGTCTAAATTTTGTAGGTTTTGAGTGTTAGAAATTAGGAGGAGTTGGTGGAATGAATTATGGAGTACTATAGGATCAAATTGGAATATTGCTAGATTAGTGAAAATCTTATAGAGGTGGTTTGTTTATTTTGATGAAAAATGAACCAAAATTAGAGGGAACAAAGTGGAGATGGGAAAGCAATAAAGGGAGGGAGAGGACAATGAAGTGAGGATAACCATTACCTTCCATTTCTCTCTTTGCCCACGTTACCTTTCTTATCCCCTTTAATCATCAATAGTGTTTTTTTTTTTTTTCATTTCGCAAATATTATAGTATAATAACACAAAAAAAAATACAACTTTTATAGTATTATTATTGTTTCAAAATCAAATTCATCACTTACCAGATGTTTTAATAAGAAAAGGTTACTCATTTGAATCCAATGAGATTAATTTTCCAAATTGTTTATAGTATTTTATTAAATGTAACAATTTTATTTTTTGGAAGGGAATACAAATAATAAGTGGAGATTTTGTAACTTACAACAAGAAGATTTAATATTTTCTTTATTACATGTACAAACAAGAAAAAGAAGATAGAAGGACTTAGGATGACATTTGTGATGCGAATTCTCAAGCAAGTTCTTCGGACCACTCGTGTAATGTAGGAGTCTTGACTCCTATATTCTTCATGTCAAGAATATTCGCTGATCCAAAGGAAGTTACGACAATGTTAGTTCCCTTTTCGCAGAATGACCAAAGAACAAAACAAATATTCAAGATTCCAACAACGGTTAATAAACCACAAAGACAAACACCAAGAGTAAAAGATGGGTTTTTACCAGTATGGATCTCTGGTGTTGCAGCAGCTGTAGCATCTGTAATAACAGTCACATTTGGATAATCCAGCTCCACTGCATCAAAAACCGTATGCCGGATACAATTTGGCGTTTGAACACCTGAAAAATCAAAGGGTTACAGAATCTGAGAGAACCGTATAGAAACAATAAAGAGTCCAATAAAAGTATAGTCTCAAGACTCTTAACATAACTCACCAGCAATGACTAAATTGGTAACCCCAGAAGTTTGCAAGAAGGAATGAAGATTGGTACTAAAAAAGGCGCTAAAACGAGTTTTCACAATCTTATAATCTTCTTCTTCCTTGATGATCAATCCATCAACTAATTCTGCTCCTACAGTGCCTTTAACAGTTGGTCCGACTTGATCAGAATTGTAGTGATGACGCCTGAATATCTCAACATCTCTTCCTCGAGGATCATGTTCCCTAACAACCTAAATCGATGCAAAAAAAAAAAAAACACATTTTCAATTAAAACTACCACACACTGAATCAAGATTAGTTCCTTCTCATATGATTCAAATATTACCTTCAAAACTCAAGCCAGTAACTTTAGAGAAATAAACTTTGATTTGTACAACACTTGACTTGGAAACTAAAGATCTCACATTTTAGATTCTGAAAACAGAACTTGCAAGATTTACGAGATCAAGTTCGAATTTTTATAACACAACCTATCAATTTCAGATTTCTAAGTTCTTTCAACACAGAAATGCACAAGTCCATCCATATATATATATATATATATACATGAAAAAGGATAAGAGATATAGAGGAGAATTACCCAAATTACGAGAATACCATGCTGCCTCGCGAGTTCAACGACTCTAATAACATTAGGAACTATAGATTTTCCTCCTTTCACTCGAATCATTGAACTTTCCTCTATGAAATCCTTCTGTGAACAAAACGAAAACAAATTCAGACTCTAAAATATCAGAGAACAAACAAAATCAACACAGAGAGAGATAGAGAGAGACCTGCATATCGATAACGAGTAGAGCCGTGTTCCTCCATCTCTCCGCCATGGTTCCGACACAAAGACGATGAAAGATTTTCGAGCACAGATATGCTTCAATAACTAATTTACAGTTATCACTTAGCGAATCTCGGCGGCCCATAGCTTGTAGTCTCCGGCCCAATAATAAAGAAAGTACAATCCGGTTTGCTTAACATTTTGCCGATTTTAAGATAATCTAAACCGACTGGTACTGAAGGAACAAGAGTTACAAAGACAAACGTTGCCTACTTTAACCTCTGCTGAATCACAACCGAACAAGACACATATCGATAAGCCACAGTAGAAAACAATCTCCTGTATTAACAAACTTTAGTTTTAACTTGTAAGAGAAAAGAAGAAAATAAACTAAGGAAAAAAAAAACTCTTCTTTTGCAGGAATCACACAATCTCCTATGACCCGGGCTTGGATATCTCAAGGTATACCATTTGAGTATACCCATTGAACACTGACTTATCAAGCCGACCTAAACCGATTCGTTGGAACAAACGGTGCTTGCCATCGGCTACTATCGGTGGAGTCGCACGTGCAGGGTCATATCTCGATTGATGGGTTAATGAAGGTCCTGCAACTGGAGGTAGCTCCCAATAGACGTCGAGAATCGATTCAACGTAGCGACTGTTTTGAAAATGTTGATTGTATGAGATCGGCGTGTTGGTGTGGTTGAAATCGTCTCTCATTTCTCCTTTAACTCCCCACCATGTTTCACCTGGTCCGCACAGTTCCTCTGTATCAACTGCTTTTTCCCAGAACTTCTTCCTCTTTGATCTCATCCTAGCTTCATCGCTGTCTTTGAAACAGCTGTGTCCACCTCCTGGAGAAAAACAAATCGATCCATATGAGAAACAATCCAATTCCAAACCCATGTAACTATAGTGTGATCTCTTTAGAACTAGCACCTCTTATATATGACTGATCACATATCTGTCTCAGGGAATAGTGATCCCCGGTTCCTGTATCATAATTATCCTCGAAAATGAGATGCCGGAAACCAGCTTTCAGTGCCTGCTTTAGCCTGCTCGTTTAAAAATATGTAAAAGAAAATCAGTAAATTCTTCGCACATTCAATACCAGGAAGGAGATGAGAAATGAAAAACTACCTTTTGAGTTCATTCTGATGGTCATCGAAGAAGACAATAACACGGCTGAGATCTGTTATTCCGTGTTTTCTCAACACACTCTTCCAATCAACACTTCCAAAATCAACAAAATCTTTGCCAGCAAAGTATGTGCAGTTTCCATCTACATAGGCAGGTCCCTTTCTCAAATACTTCTCAGGGTGCCTGGGAGTAAGTGAGATCATAGGTGTATCTGGCATCGCCTGCCGCAGAACCCAAGTGGAGTGTCCCTTAAAAGCACCACTCTCAATCATCAGATCTGGCTTTAGCCAACGGGCCATGAACCATAACCCAAAGCTGTGATCAAAACCCATTCCATACATGTTGTTCTTAATCGGCCGTGTTTCATAAATCGGCACAAACTCTTCTAGACCCTTGAGTAAATCTTTGGATGTCCACTCAACTTCTTTTCCATGTTTCGATCTGCCTTTTGCCAAAGAAAAAAATTAAATACTTCCATAGCACAACAAATCAATTTGTTTATAAACAAGTGCCATAAAACTCATCTTCCTGTTGCTTTAATGGAAAAATTGAGAACAACAACATTGCTATCTCAGAGTATAAAACTCGTAATCAAAGTGAGCTAGAGCAATTTATGGTTCTTATCCATTGATTTGTCTACACACAGCACAACCACTACTATCCAGAGATTAACCAGTGGAAGCTACAAGCCTTGAATTCAATGATACTAAAACCTCATCTGAAACAGATTTATAGAACAATTTCTAAATTGACCTAAATACTATCAACAAAAATGGAAACCTAGATCAAATCTAACCAAAGCATTTGAGTAAAATCCACAAGGAATCACTAGAGATTGTCGAGTGATTACGCCTCTCAAGGATACACAAAAACCAAATCACAATGCTGAACACAAAACAAATAAAGGCTTAAAAGAAAAAGAGTTGTCGAGTGCTTACACCAAGGAACACCTAGGGCACCAAAATCCGATTCAAGCCCATCAAGACCGAAAAACCCGATCCGAGCAGCGGGATCGAAGCGGGAGATACAAACAAAGCTGTGAGAATGGAAAGCAACGGAGATGAGGAAGAGAAGGACGAGGAAGAGGAGAGCGAGAATGAGACAAGGCCACCACTGATGGCCGATCCGAGAAAGGAAATTGGAAGCAAGGAGGTAGATGTGTGGCCGTTTGGTTTTAGATTCGTCGGTTCCGGATTCGCCGGAAGCAGATAGATCGGCGTCGGAGTGAGGACGACGAGAGGAAAGAGCCCGATCTAACATCGTCGTTGGAGTTTTCGGTGACTGAGAGTGCCAGAGTGATTGCCCATTGTTCATTCCTCTCTCCATTAATATCCTTTCTTAATCTTTTTTTCGAGTTTAATCAATTTTTGTAATCTATAAAGTGTTTCCTCACCTGAAAGACAAAAATTATAGAAAACCAAAACCGGCTAGACCAAACCGGTTAGATGAAATTGGTTTGAATTATTGAATTAAAGACCAAACCGGCTTGTGCCTTCGAGAGCAAACAAAAGCCCAACAAATGTTTAGCCTAATGTGTCGTCTTCAACCTTAAAACGCTGGGATCCGTATATTCCCCAAACCCTAAAAGTTATTCCATCTGTATCAATGGAAAGGAAGAGGAAGACAACGAAGAAAAAGAAGAAGAAGTCGCCGACGCAGGAATGGACATTACATCCGTCACTTCCCGATGATTTGCTATTGATCATCGTGGCACGCGTGCCAAGATTATACTTTCCGACTCTCTCACTCGTGTCCAAGAGTTTTCGATCTCTCCTGGCTTCACCAGAGCTTTACAAGGTCAGGTCACTGATATAGGAATTAGAGTATGGAGAAATGAAGAAATGATGTAAGAAGACTGGCACGTGTGGCACGTGAGGAGTAGTGAGCTGCAGTACACGTGGAAAGAAAAGATTGGATCAAGTGGGCTAAAGCCCTTTAAAAGAGACATCGTTCTCTTCTTCTTCATTATGCAAAAACCAGAGAAATTATTTTTAGTTGTAATCTTCTTCTTCTTCTTAGTTTGTGTTGAAACTATGGTGTTGTACTCATCTAGATCGAGATCTCTCCGTTAGATCTTTGTCATTTGAGATATCGGCTCGCGTTTTATGAACGTTAGTCCGATTTGGTTCCGGTTACGATTTGAATTGAAGTATTGGTGTTTTTCTTTATCAAAGGTATCAGAGCTGTGTCATCCTCGGATTCGTATCAATGGCGGCAACACGATCTCCGATGTTTGTCACGGAAATGGTGGTTCGTGAAACCATGGCGAAGACTCGATCGCAAGCAGTGGTTACAGAAGAAACGATTGGATCGAGGATTCAGGCGTTAGAAGATTTGGTGAAGGAACGAAATCAGAAGATTGATAGAAATATTTTGGATATGCTCGAGGCTATGAATCTGTTGACGAACAAGGGATATTCGTCTCATGTACAAGATCTTCGCAATTCGTCTCGTGTATCACCAGCACCTGCCAATTCTCCATCAGATCCAGCACATGGACATCGTTCAGGTATCTCTAATTCTTATGTGAGAGTTACAAGGTTGGCGAAGTTAGATTGTCCTCGATTTGGTGGCGATAGAGTAAAGGAATGGCTCTTTAAGATTGAACAATTTTTCTTGGTTGATCGAACACCGGATGAATTGAAAATAGGTTTAGTATCTGGCCTATTTGATGATCTGGCTGCTACTTGGCATCAATGGCTGGTACAATCAGTTCTGTGGAAGCATGTTATGCACGATTGGATGACATACAAAATGTTGTTGCAAGGTAGATTTAAGGAGCTGGAGGTTGATCCAATTGTTGAGTTGAAACAATTACAGGAAACAGATGGAATTAGAGATTATCATGAAAAATTTGAGCTGATCAAATCTCGTGTGAATCTATCTGAAGCATACTTGGTTAGTATTTACTTAGCAGGGCTCAGAACAGATACTCAAGTGAATGTTAAAATGTTTCAGCCACAAACAGTGAGCCAGTGTTTCATGCTTGGAAGATTGTATGAGCAAGCACATCCTAGAAGCAACACTGATACCAGAGGGATTAGTGAACCGAAAGCAGCGAAGGATACAAAAGTGGTAGAAATTGAGGTTGAGACAAAATCGATTGAAACGATGGCACATGAAGCGATTTTGAAGGAAGACTTGATTCCCCAATTTCAGGTACCGGTTTCTAACTTGGAATCTAGCCTTCGATTTCACAATGCATCACCGGTTGTTTGTGAGGATTCCCACTCTGTTGTTGTTGGCTGTACTGACTTGTTTAATCATCAAGAAACGATATTGCAAGCTTTATACACCACCAAAGCAAGGGATGTGTCGCTTCAGAAATCAACAAGTGTCCCTAACAGTCAAGTTGCACACCAACTGTTCGAGAAAATGCCTCTCAGAGAACAAAGTAAAAAGAGGCATATTAAGTGTTTCAAGTGTTGGAGATTCAAATTCAAACTAAGGAAACAACAGAGAGGCAAGCCACGAATAGCACACAAACTGATTTACAGAGGGGGTGTGATGTACAAATATTTTGCTTCAAGTGTCAAAGTTGTAGTGATAAAGAAGAAGAACAAGTTCTGTAAGACTTGGTCTACGCTCAAAGATGGCTGTTTTAAGAAAACCAGGCCACAAATAGAGGATGTGATGGGTGAAGATCGCAAGAAACAACACGGAGATAGTGAGCATGATACAAAAGTCTTTGAAACTTTAAAAGACCTACAACAGTTTACACTTGGTGAAGTGATGTTCCAAATAAAGCACAAGTGGAGAGATGATCAATTTTCTGTGGAGAAGACTATAAAAATAGGCAGGAACTTTCACTACAAAAATAGGTTAATCCAAGGTGAATTAGTGAAGATGGGAGAACTATCTAAGCTCAGATTGAAGAAACATCACATGTCACAGTACTTATGGAAGAGTTGGTGTTCTACAGTGCTTTATGGATATTTTCTTTGGGAACACAGTGACAACGGGACGCAGCTCTTATGCAGCAGGAGATTGGTTGTTTACAAGCTTGGAAGTGAGGCCAAGAATGCTGTAGCGGTGTCTCAGCGTGTGTATTGGACTGTTGCACTGGATTTTGCGAAAGTAGAACCAAAGCTTGAAGTCACACAAAGCCAAACCTTTGACCCTGGGATTGGACTTGAATCACAAGAGACTCTAAGAAGAACTATGGAGGTAACGGCATGGGAGTTCTCTTTGTTTCGCATTGACAATTTCCAAACACTGAACCTTGTGGTCAAGGTTCTTTGAAGAGGGGAGATTTGATATAGGAATTAGAGTATGGAGAAATGAAGAAATGATGTAAGAAGACTGGCACGTGTGGCACGTGAGGAGTAGTGAGCTGCAGTACACGTGGAAAGAAAAGATTGGATCAAGTGGGCTAAAGCCCTTTAAAAGAGACATCGTTCTCTTCTTCTTCATTATGCAAAAACCAGAGAAATTATTTTTAGTTGTAATCTTCTTCTTCTTCTTAGTTTGTGTTGAAACTATGGTGTTGTACTCATCTAGATCGAGATCTCTCCGTTAGATCTTTGTCATTTGAGATATCGGCTCGCGTTTTATGAACGTTAGTCCGATTTGGTTCCGGTTACGATTTGAATTGAAGTATTGGTGTTTTTTCTTTATCACCTACCAAAAATTACACCGAGAGTTGTCTCTATGTTTGCTTAACATTGAAATCTCATCTTAACATTAAACCAAAAAAAAAAAAACATTTAAATCTCATAAGAACCAAGGCTGGTTCACCCTCTGCCTGAAACCTGATCAAAACCTAACCAATGACACAAGTATGAAGAAGAAGAAGAAGAAGTCAAGTGGGTATGTTTTGGCTAGAGTCCCAATTCCCGATTCTCCTTGTGTGCACTTCTCGGGTCTTGTAGCGGTTGGTTCTAATATCTACAACATTGGCGAATCCATAAATTTTTCGCTCTCCTCTAGCGTCTCTGTTCTGGATTGCCGGTCTCACACGTGGCGCGAGGCTCCAAGCTTGCCGGTGAAGCTAATTTCACTCTCTGCTAGCGTCTTTGATAGAAAGATATATGTCGCAGGGGCCGCAGGGCGGTACAACGATGTCCGTTCCGATAATTTGAAGACCTCGTTGGAAGTGTTCGACACAAAAACACAAACTTGGGATCCTGAGCCCATCCCTTGCAGTGAGATAAAAGACAGCTTTAATTGCAGAAGCATATGGATTGACGGAAAGTTCCATGTGGCGACTCACAAAGATTTGTTTGCTTACAAATCCAAGGAAGGTAGATGGGACACGGTTGAACCACGACAGGCGATGCATCATTATTTGTATTCAGATTCTTATTGCAAGATAGACAATGTTCTCTACTCTGCTTCTGATGGAGCGTTCAGATGGTATGACACTGACATAAGTATGTGGAGAAATTTGGTAGGACTTCCCAAGTTATTACATCTTGGTTATCGTGTTAGATTGGCTGACTATGGCGGAAAGCTAGCTGTTTTGTGGGAAGAGGAGCTGCCTTATTATTCTGGGACTTCTCTCCGCTATGAGAAGATGATTTGGTGTGCGGAGATTTCGCTTGAAAGGCGCAAAAGTTGGGAAATTTGGGGGAAAGTTGAGTGGGTTGATCATATGCTTACAGTCCCTAGAACTTATGAACTCGTGAGTGTTCTTACTACTACTGTTTGATATGTGAGTCACAAAGGCTTGAACGTGTGTTGCTATAATCTTGGTTTATATCTCTCTGTTTATTTATAGTCATATGGAAAAAGCTTCCCATTGAAATTGTTTTTTTTTTTTTTTTTGAAAAAGGATTGTTCTTAAACTTTAATGTTCTCTCTTGTGACCTTTTTTATCGACATGTCTCAACTGCACTAAGTATTTCACTGTATTTTGCTCTCATAGTGTAGAACAACTATGGGGAAACAACTCTTCTCAATGACTTTGATGACAATCATGATTTTCTCGACAATGGAATTCCAAAGCTCTGCCTCGATCGTCAATAGACTTGATGTCTCTTCTACTTGATGCGTCATGTAATATTCACTATTATTGCCCCCAAGTCTTTCAGATGTTTGGATCTTTTTAATTGGACCGTTACCATTTCGAGCAACTTGTCAATTTCATGGACGTATATAAATGTGTTGAATCGTTTGTCACGTTATCTGTGTGGCGCCCGCAACACAACGTTGGAGATTTTTTTTGGTCAAATAAATATGCGATTAATAATCTTAGGAGTCTCCACACATTCACAGAGAAACCGTAACCCGGCTAGAGAGTTACAGAACCGGACTTGTTCCGATGTCTCGTCTCCGGTTTTGTACAAGAACACCTTCTTCTTCGTACGTTCTTCAGGTTCCATCTCCAAATTATCGTTGTATCCAGTGAATGTTACGACGAGATCGTTCTTTTTAGTATACGCCACGAATTCGACTTGATAATCGTAGATACGATCTTGTGCAGAGATGAAATTCGACATTGAAAGGCTTATAATCTTATTCCATGACCCGGTTTTCTCCATAACCGAAATCCGAATCTCCTTCTTGCACGTTTCATACTCTGTAATACAGAGTTTTTGACTTCTAACGCCTAGCCATGAACACGTCACGCCTCGGTTGAAAACCGGGAGAGGGAATTTCCGGTATTCATGGGTTGAGATATTAAAGCGTATGATAAACCGGTCAGCATTAGACCGGTACGCAATCCAATAGAGGTATTGGTCCAAAAATGTACCTCTTCTGTCTCTGTAATGCCAATCAGGATAAGCTATCCGTAGGCTCTCTCTCCATGAACCGGTTCTAAATTCGAAAACGTGCGCTGTGGAAACATCAAGCCGGTCGATAAACGTTACGAGTTTGTAATCATCGTGAACCGGATCATAACCGAAACCAAGAATGTTCGAATCTTGGTATATACCGGGATTTGGTACGATCTTGAATTGCTTCGAAAACGGATTCCAAACCATGAAAGTGTGATTCTTTAAGGTGACACATAACGTCCCATCACAATGAAGCACACATGTTGATTCATCGATCATTGACTGATCCAAAGGGAAATCGAGCTTATGAGGGTTTGTCATAACCGGATGCTTGTCTTCTACGTCAAGCATGTAAAAGTTCTTGTCGTAAAACGACACGAACTTTGCCGGAGAAATGTCTCGGTACGTTTCTGCGAATCCACGGTCGTTGATAAGATCTCTCCATGTCTTGCAGACGCATCTGAATCGAGCAAGATCCTTCATCGATAGCCTCACTAATATCTCAATGGCTAATTCTTCCGGGAGAAATTTCGACATTTTTTGTGTGGTTGAAGATGTTTTGTTCGCCCGTGGTTCCTTTCCTTATAGATGAAGATGCGTATAGCTCAAAAAAGGGTAGGAGACAAAAAAAAGGTTTTGTCTTTTTTTTTTTTGGTAGGCAAAAGGTTTTGTCTTTTGATCAATTAAAGATGAAAAAAAGTTTGGTGGATTTGCAAATTTGCATTAAAATTTATAAAGAGAACATTTCTACACCGCATTTGCGTGTTCCGGCATCCTAACTTCATCTTTCACTCTACACCAATTAATTTATTTATGCTAACATATTTTAATGCAATACTTGACACGTAATTGAAGATTAATCAACCATTTTATTTGTTTACCAAATTTGCATCACACCTAATCGGCGTGTTCCGTCATCGCTAACTTCTATTACTTTCATAAATTTTTGCAAAATTATAAATGGGTCATATAGTACTATATATATATATATATATATATATATAAAGTCATACGAAAACTTGATAAAACAATTGTTAAATCCATAAGCAGTTTGTAAATAAAAAAACAATAGTAAAAATCTAAAAATCAAATAATTTATTTCAATTCTATTATTCAAAACAAAGTCTTCGATTTTGTATTTAAAGTCAAGCAAATAGAAAAAGAAATAACAATGGAATCAATCAAAAAGAAAATTTTGTACATTTTTTGTTTTGTGAATATAATTTTACATTCATACAAGACGGAAAAAAAAGAAGAGAAAATTTTGTTTTTGTTTAGGATTTTTTTTGTAAACCAAAATTTTACTAAAAAATTCATTAAAAACCCCTTAATTAATATTTTATTAACTTAAAAGTTTTTAACCTATAGAATATAGTAAAAGAAAAGCCCAACAAAAAATGAATTAATAACAAAACCTAGAAAATTTTGTGTTTTTTTACATAAAATGCCTAAAATGTTTTTCCTAAAATATGTGCATCTATTTGGATATCTTAAACCATTACTTGGGTAGCTTGTGTTGTGGACTGGGCTTGGGTGCAGCCGTAAATCACATCATCGAACCCTTCCCTCCACTGGGTAAATAATTCTCTTTGTCTCTGCATTGCATTTAATGTTCCGATGGAGAAATAATTCTCAGATATCGACTTTGTTCCCTTAATCAATCTGTGAAGCTGTGGTCCGAATCTCTCTATGGTTGCTTTGGCTGGTTACTCTTCTAGGGAATGTTGATTGGGATGAGGTCGAACTCAAGTTGCGGAGCTGAGGAGAGTTATCTTCCTGAGCTCGGACTATCTAGCATTCGTTGGCCTATCTATTCTTCTTTCGGTGTATGGTCTTGCAATCATCATGTTTGCGAAAGCTTATGATCCATAGATGAATCTGTACCTTGTGTTGATGTTATTTTTCGGTAACTTTTTCTATTCTCTAGTGTTTTACTATTACGTCTTGTACGCCCGAAGCACACCCTTAGCTCGGATCCCTCCCCGTCGGAAGAATCTCTACGGATTGGTTAGAGGTGTGGGGAGAGGGGATCACTCGTTATCTTCACAATCTTGGACGGTCATGTCAAAAACCAGCCTAAATGGATGTTGGCTTCCTTCGTTGGCTTGATCTTCGTTCATACTACCCATGCCTTAGTAGCGTTTAAGATTATTGAAGAATTTGATATCTCATCGAGATTTCTTCAGTCTTGCTACGCCTTCGTATTCTCGGATCTTCATCAGTTCAAACGTCTTGCCAACCAGCGATGAGCCATTACACCTATGCTTATCATTCTATTCGCGCTTAGGTCGTTTCTTATTGATGGTGTTATGCCCCCTCTGGAAGACAACGCTACCCATGTAACACACCAACCTCCTGTCCCGATAATGATCGGCATGACGTCGTATCAAGTGGTTGAGGACAGGGAGCTCGAGGTGGATGGGGACAGTGCAACTGAGTACTATTCAACTGAGAAAAATCCAATTGAAGTTGCACTAAGTTTACTTGTATAGTAGGTTTTTCATGAGTTTTTCTTTTGTAAAACACTATTTTAGTGGTCGTTTATTGGTTACTCTTTGGACCTATCTTGAATTTTATGTTCAGAATGCGCACATGATAATGATGACAAAGTTATATTCAGAAAAGATGTTTTGCATGTGGAGCAGAATAAAGACTTGGATTCAATTGATAATGAGAATTTTGTAGAAGATATAATACCAATTTAGTCCATATATCTTGTTTATTTACCAAAAGATGATCAAAGAAGAGAAAGGATCATCTTAGGACCAACGGATTCGATGATGATGATGGTGATGAACGAAGATGATGATGATGAGAGAAGATAGAGAGAAAGAGAGAAAGGAGAAGATAATTTGTGATTGATCGATTCTCGCTAATGGCAAAAGGTTTATATAATGTGATTGCTGAACCGAATAAACAAACCTAAATACATAACTAAACCATATATTAACCAAAGATTATTAAACCAAGCTCTTAATCTTGTCACAATGATGAGTTAGCTTGGAATTTCCTCGTCACTAAGTACTCCGACAATAACCCAGGAGATTATGGGGCCGGTTGGAAGGAGTTGTAGATGCTTTAGAAAACCAATTTTAATTTTCATAGCTATATCAGCTGTTGTTCAATATATATGGAACAATAGATGATATACACACTATATTAATATGATTATTTTGTAGATACAGATATATATATATATATATTTTTATATATATATATAATAATTTTTAACTAATATGTAGTTTATATGTGTATAAAATATTAGATATTATATCATTATTTATTTTAAATTAAAAAAAATTCTTACAAAAATATTTAATTTTAAATAATAAATGCATAAAGCTACAGCATACAACTAATATTTGCCAATCATGTTTTTGTTTTTTAAATTCATAGCTAAAATCTTACTGTCACAGCCAAAACATCTATAAGACAAAAGCTACGTGAATTAGTTAGAACGGAGTTTGGTTTGACAGATAAGGATTTGCTTGTGATGTCTCTTAGCAGCATAAACCCGGGAAATGGTCAACTTCTTCTCCTTGAATCTGTAGCCTTGGCACTGGAGAGAGAACAAGAACAAGAGCAAGTAGCTAAAAGTAATCAGCAGTTCAAAATCATCAACTCCTTTTGTGTGTTTTCTTATTTCCCTTGTTAAGGGTCGTATGAGTGGATCTTTAGACAAACCCCGCATGTTCTATATACATCCGTTGAAGAAGCCTGAAATGAAGGTCGTACTTTATTCTTTTTAATTGTTATACATTCCAAGTCTCTAAAATTGGCACCATATAAGCAGTAAAAATGATTCTATAAGATATTAATCACATGGTGAAAACTTCAGAGAAGTAGAATGTGTAATAATTCTCCAATTAAGAGCTTTAATTTGATTATATCCCACTTTTAATTCCTACAACAGAGATATTCACAAGCTATGCAATATTTTGAGATCTAAAAAGTGCAAACAAAATAAATAAAAAAGGCTCGCTTCAAATAAACACCTTAGGCCATCTCCAACGGGTATGTTTTGCATCGTCTCTCTTTATTAAAATAAAGAAAAAAATAGTAATCTGTTTTGGGAACCAATTCGTAGTCGAATATATTACATGTGATTCATTAGATGGTGAAAAAAGAGTAGGTGTCGAGAGACGACGAGTGAATCATCGAAGATAACAAGGGAAATGTAGTGAACAACATAATTATTTTCTAAACTTTGGACTAAGAATGCAAATGATTAAAATAAAATCTCTTCAAATTCGAATGATTATATTTATATTAAAAATACGCATTGATAAAAAAAAATTGAATTAAAATCCCGCGCAACGCGCGGGTACATAATCTAGTAGGAAAAAGAGGAGAGAAGGAGAGAGTCGTCGCTCTTTTGGGAGACTTTAAGAAACGTTTCTCACAGATGTCCTACTATAATTAGTCTAACTAAAATATTTATTAATAAAATATGACTTTATTTATGTTCACATTTAAAAGTTGTGTTCACACATATATGAGAAACTGAAATAGAGAGACGAACGTTGGTGATGCTCTTAGGAATGACGCTTACACTAAATTATACTTTGGTTTCTTTTTTTTCAATACTTTGGTGATATTTCAATGGCTAATTCTTCCGGGATAAATTTAGACATTTTTGTGTGGTTGAAGATGTTTTGTTTGCCGGTGATTCCTTTCCTTATATAAGAAGATGCGATGGTATGGCTCAAAAATAATATAGGAGCCAAAAAAACAAGTTTTGTTATTGATGAATTAAAGATAAAAACAAGTTTTGTGGATTTGCAAATTTGCATTAAAATTTATAAAAGAGAACATTTCTGCACCTCATTCGCGTGTCCCGCCATTATACTAACTTCATCTTTCACGATCACTCTACACAGAGTGATTTATTTTTTACTAACAAATTTTAATGCCATATTTGACACGTATTTGAAGAAGACTAATCAACCATTTTATTTATTTACCAAATTTGCAATACACCGAATAGGCGTGTTCTCCGTCATCACTAACTTCGATTACTTTCATAAATTTATTTATTCCCAATTTTATGTTCAAGGAAAAGACTTTCCATTTAAGTGTGCTTGAATGCGTATGTTAAACTTAGGGAACAAGGAATTTGTGGAAAGTCTTAGGTGTGCATCTGAAATCGTACGCTTGTAATCACCAAGTCTCTATTCTTGGAGATGCAATAAGAGATCTCCCAAAGGTTTGTAACCCTTCTAGTTAATGGTTTGATTACAAACCTTTGATAGATCTCTTATGCATCTCCAAAAATAAGACATTAGTAAAGCGGATTCTGTGTTTCTATTTCGATTAAATTGTAAGAATATTTTATTTTATGTGGCCTATATGTCTTTCGGTTTAATTATAAAGTTCAAGTTTATATTAAAGTTAAAGATTCTAATATTAAAGACGATACCGTGATGGATCGGTTTCGATTAAAGAATTAGAATTCGGGTGTATTGATAACCCTCTTCCCTTGCCTTAATTATATTTTATAAGTAATATATATACATGTATATGTTATGTTCATGCATTATTAAAGTGGTGGTTATTACGAACCAATACAACCCTTGGTAGATGCTATATACATGTATATATATGTGTGGTGTTAAACACGTCAAAGGTTACGTTTTTGTTCTCCTCACGAGAGAAACAGAAACAGAACAATAACTAGACACAAAAACATCAAAAGGGTTAGTGATCTTCTCCATCAAAGATCACGTGAAAGGAACAAGGTCAAAGGGGAGAAGAAATCAACTGGTGAATTGATTCCATTACAAGCCTAATTAAGCAATGGATCAAGGTTAGTCTTTCTTCTTCTACAAGAAAGTGTGTGGTTGAATTAAATTGAATCTAGATGATCTTGGGAATTAGATTTCATGGTAGAAATCATAAAAGTTTAATTTAATAT